AAAGAACATAATCCGAAAAGATGACCATTATTTATCAATCAATTTTTCAGGATTATGGGAGAAGCGTCCGATGACATAAAGCTTACCCCAGGATCTGTGATTGAGATATCCAGGCTTCCAGGATATACTCTCCAAACAAAAGGTAAAAACACTATTAGAAATTTCGATTTCAAGTAAAAAATACAAAGTCCAAGTAAACTAATAGATGTTTCCCTGTTTATGCAGTTATGAATGAGGTTGTGAGCAGAGTTGAAAGCGAGTTTCTCTGCAGGGCATACATACATATGTATTTGGGAGACGATCCTCTTGATAAAGAAGCAAAGGAAAAATTCGGGGCATCCCTGCTTTCTCTTTTCCAAGGACCTGAGGATGAATAATAACAAGGTCTGTGTGAGGAATAATTCCTAAGGCTGATTTGCAGTGCTTAGGAATAACATAAATAAGTGGTGATGGGAAGGAAGTTTATTGCTATCCTCTTCATGGGAGGACTGTTTTAATGCTTTTTTCTAGTTGAAGTTCAAGTGTGTAACCTGCTCATTTCTGCACTTAATATAATAAGGAAAACCCCATGTTTTTTTTTTTTTTTCTTTTTTCATACATGTTTCCAAAATCATGTACAAATGTTGCGACATGATGACCATAGTTTTCTTCACAACGTCAAAACCCAAAAGCAGCCATCAGAATACAATAAACCGAAAGGAAGATGAGAAGCTCATTTAATAAAAATAATCCGATTATATGCACCCACATATAGTTATATGTAATTCAGAAACGCAAAATCACACAAGAATTCCTGGGACAAAGGCAAATAGGTTCTTCTTGATCATTAATTGATTAAGTTCGTGTATCACATTACCTCATAAACTAAACCAAACGAAAAACTCCCACAGCAAAAATTAGGATAAAGTAAGAAAAAACAGTTCTTGATTTTACCTTATCAGAGAATGCAAGTGATTGAACAATCTTTCATCACTCTTGAGAAAGAACACTTCATGGAAAGAACACTAAAATGAAAATTGCTTGTTTCATTTCTTGTTTAAAGAAGAATAATATTAACTGAAGACAAAAATGAAAAAAGGACAAAATCACCATTGGCTCAGGGTCAGCTTACCTAACTTCTCCACCAGAAAAATGTCTACACAAACACTTCCTACAATCGTTTTGGCAAATTTCCTACTAAAAAGAAGTCGAAAATTTCAAATACATAAATAGTACACGAAAAAGTCACCATCACTCTTCAAACAAAAGTCACCACTGAACTGAAGCTTTAGAACGTATTCTGAGGATTAGCCCTCCTCCTAAAATCTTGCCTGTAATAAGGAGTCTCATCAATAGTCCGCCTAACATAATCGATAAACGGTGGTGGAGTTCTGGGAGACTGGTCGCTAATCACTGCCGGGCTAACCCGTTCAGGCGTGATTGGTGCAGCTACACCTGGACTACCAGAAACAACCCGTTGAGAACCAACACGTGTTCTTTCGGGCCTATCCAGATAAAATATCACGAACATCACCGTGAGTATCGACAGAAAGAGAAGGCCCAATATCCCACACCACAGAGCTTCATTCCCCAATCCAAACCCAACTACCGATTTTCTTTCTTCCGGCTCGTAACTAACTTCCATCTCAACCCTTTGACCGGTGGCCGAGAGTGAGAAAATAAGCCGGTCTCGTAATTTATCTGCTCCGACAACTCTAACCTCGTACTTCACAAATTTCCCCACCGTATGATCTTCCCCGTAGACTAGTTTGACCGATAATCGGTTCCTATCTTGCCAGTTGAGATCAACATCCGTATTCCCGATTATGGTCATGAAGCCCGTGTTTGAGTCTCGTGTCAGATTTAAACGTAGTGAATTTTTATTATTACCCATTTCGAGTATGTTAAAACCTCCAACAAAAAGGGCAGATGCAGAACCAGAAAAACGATTGTCTCCCTTTATCGAAGCTCTGATAGTCACGCGAACCTGATTTAGATTCTCGGGAGACGAGCGCGCGAGGTGTTCGGGAGAATAAGGGTAAAACAGACAATATAAATTACCCACCTCAGGATCTATCCACGGCTTGGCAAAACCAATACTAGGCGGATCTACCACACAGTCGAAAGAATTTTTACGGGCATCGTTAAATTTTACTGTGAAAGCGTATCCTTTTACTGGAAACGGCACATTCGTGAGTACAGGCTCGATAGGAGCATCGACCGATACCATTTTGTTCCCTTTCAGTACAGTGACCACTGTGTGAAGCTTAGAACTTGATTTCGGATCCGAAAAGTGGACATGTGTAGTGCCTTCTGCAATTGCTTCAGCTTTACCGGATAGTTTCTCGATAAAAACAACACTCTCATTGGCACTGAACCAATGACCTGAAGCCAAGTCAGCCAAGTCAGTCAGACCTTTTATTTCAAAGTTAAGTGTACTCCCTCGTTGGATGACTGGATTCTGTGGGTATATCTGAGGACCAATAGAAAATATTGCATACACTGATTTACGAGGATTACTCACAAAAGCTATCCGAACAAGAGCTGTTCCTTGGCTTTTCGCCGTGACATGGATTTTTCCACGGCCATCGTATTCATCAAAAGACAGAACATGAGCATTGCTAGTTTCCACTTCGAACAGCGTAAGGTTATGAGCCTCGTGAAAAGGATTTCCTAAAGTATCGTGATATTTGACGGGAAGATCGAGTTCCGAGCCTACAGCCAGGGTGTGAATTGGAAACTCATCGGCAGTTATTCTGATTTGTGCCACGTCAGCGACCCTCACACACGATGCAACTTCGGTTCTCCCTGTTGACCTGTCTTTCGCCTGAATGCATGCGAGATTGCCAGATTCCTTCGTTATAATTTTAGCCCCATCGAGATATATACCTGTATCATCATCTTGTAACTCTTCCATTTTTTTTCTCTTGCACTGTCCCAACAAGGAATAAGCAATACCTTTATCTCTCGGAGAATGTGCAGACGAAGGCAAAAGATCGGAAGAGGTATAATAGGAAGGAAGTATCCAAGTGATTGGCTGCCCAAGAGCGAGCGGAAGATCGGGAACTACCGATAACGATACAGATGCATTGTAGAAAATCGACTTCGACATCGAATTTGAGAAATTGTAATTACATGAGAAAGAAACTGTAACAATCGCCTTGCCAGCAGATACTCCACCCACAACCCGAACGAAATCGAAATCTTGCCCGTTCAATAAATCAGCGGGTTGCCCGTTATCACGAAACTGAAATTCCAAAACGTCTTTATCTTCAATAGCCCATTCGAAATTTTTGCATAGCTCGTAAAAGGAAAATAAATTTCCCTTGGACAACGAGGGATATACTGGCATTGTGCGGCCAATCGCAAGATTTTCACTTTGGACCTTTAAAACTGCTGATAACGGAACCCCTACTTCAACCGAGGCATATGCTCGACAAAGCTCGATATCACCATCGCCGTATATAGTGGCAGTTAAAGTACTATTGCCTGGTGAAATTGCCAAGAGTTGTCCGGTGAACGTGTGAATTTTCGCAGCCCGATCATCCGTACTAGTAAATCGGACATGTGAACCAATTCTAGGGCCTCCTCTAACTGTCAGCACATAAGATGCGCCAGGTACAAGGACTATATCACTAGGTTGTATTCTTGGCGGAGAATATACTTCCACAGTAACTTGTTGGCTCCGTATTTCATGTCCAGAATGTTGGACAGCACTAAGATATAGAGTGGTCACCCCAAGACGAGTAGCATGTAAGGTGAAATTCGATGCATGGACATGACTATCAACCTCAACTATAGTTTCTTCAATATGAATACGAATATTCATGTACACGAACTGAGAAGGGTCAAAAGTTCGACCGTCACCAACTCCGACCAAAAAACCTAAGGACTGTGAAGTTCCCTCCATAATGCTTAAATGTTCTCCGCCTACAATCTTAATCCAGTCCACCTCGGCAACTTGGACAATGGAAGATGCAGAAAGAGAAGGAGCAAGCCCAATATCATGCACCGTAACAAGGGAATACCCCAGGCTTTTAGGAGCCAAAATTAGACTTGTGCATTCATCAGCAGGTTTTTGTTGCACTATTTCCACAATTTGGGTGTCATTCACCAAAGTCTCCACTGAACGGCTCCCACCAGTAATTGTAATATTCATCCTAGCCTCAGGATCGAAGAACAACAAGCTGAGTTCTGGACTCACTCGAAGAGAAGAAACTAGCTGCAGCTGAATTGCATCTGCTAGAGTAGGACCTCGAAACGTCTTAGCAAAATCGAGATGACTAAGAGAATCAATGACGCCAATAGTAGTCGTACGTACCACACAAGTTCCAGATTCATTTTGCAAAATCAAGAACCTTTCCCAACTGGAATATGTTGTTGGACCATACTGCTCTTCGAAAAGTGCCAGCCTTTCACACTCCGTTAATTGCCACCTTAATCTGAGTGAAGATGAATTAGCGAAAGCTTTTCCAGAACTACTAAGGCCAACAGCTGACACTCTTATCTTCCGTCCATTGGCTACTGTAATTGGGGGAACCCGAACTCCTTCAAGCAAGCGTTCAGCCTGAGCAGCAGACTTTATAGCTGGAAGAGCATTCAAAGCTTCATCAGCCAATATCACTATCGAAGATGGGAAACTACACACAAGCACCAACTGCACTTCTGATACAACAGGCAAACGATGGTCCTCCCCGATTAAGTTGCCACGACTGAAAACAAGCCTGAAGGTTCCCAAACTTTCACATCCTATTTTGTATGGATTGCCAAAGCTGGTTGATTGGTCAATGGAAATAGTATTTTTCACAGAAGAAGTCTGTTCATTCAAAACTTGCACATTTTCAATGAATTCAACATCCTTACTCCATCTTTCTGGCCCCCCACGAAGCATAACATCTATTTGAGTGCCGGGCACAAGATACAAGAGATCCAAATTATGCAGCTGATTATGAGCTTCAGCATGAGCCAAATCAAACCAGTAGCCACCAAACTGGTTCCCGTCACTTGCCTGATGCACAACAAGTGGTGAAAATGCCGCAATATTCGAGGATGCTTTCAAGGCAATTGATTCCCGACCAGCTTTTGCAGATTGTAGATTATCTCTGATTAAAGTTGCGTATACCACAGAGCGGCCGGGATTCGTAGCATATATGCGGGTCCATGCACATGGAGGACCAAATGACAATGATCGAAGTTGAGTGGCTTCTTTTTGGTCTATAACGAATAATTCCTCAGTTGCATTGACAACTACAAAAGAATCACTCTCGGTACTCCATCTTACGGAGGACCTGAATGCATCACAAGCATAGTAATTAGCACCATGTGATGCTTTCAATGTCAAAGACACTTGAAGATGGGACCCGACGGGCGTCTCTACAGGAAAGTTAGGCAGCATAACCATCGAACGAGGAATGGAAACTTCAATAACCAGCTCGTCATAATTCAATGAATCAAATATGGACACGGCTCTAACAATTGCTTTTCCAGGCTTTTTAGCCTGAACAATCCCAGAGACAGATACAGACAAAACGGCCATATCTGAAGAAAACCATTTATAGTCGCTCGAGGACATTGCACAACCTCCAGTAACTTTAAGCTCCAGCTCTTGATGGACACCAGGAACCCATGGGAGGAAAATTCTGTCAGAAACATTTCTGTTTCCCAACATATTGAATTGAACCGGATCACAAACCATGACTTCTTGAACTACTTTGACAACTTCTTTCCCCGTATCATGCCCAGAGCTGTAAGACAAAGTTGCAGTAAGTTTCCCCAGTCCATATGAATTTGCGTTTAGAACTCTACAATTCTTCTCGGCAATAACACCCTCATGTTCTGAAACTGGGACTATATTCCAGAATTCATCACTGTTATCATGAAGCTCTATTACATCACTTTCGGTAATAAAAATATCGTGCGCCCCGGGACCTGGTGAGAAAACCTTAACACAAATGAGATACAGGCGGCCAGACACAACATACCAACGTGATACAGATGGAATAGGCTCGACGCCATCAATTTGACCTCCAGAAAGAGAGAGGGGAGACATATATAACACCAAATTATCAGGTACAACAACATGGAGAGACGATATTTGCATGTGTCCAGCAACCCTGGTGTCCTCAACTACAACTGTCGTTACCCCAAGGTTCACTGCATGAACTGTACCCAATGCACTTTCCATCTGAGCTACTGATGAGTTCAAAATGGACCATTGATGGAATGGAGATGGTAAATTTACAACACGCGGAGTATTATTACGGATGACTTTAAGAGTATAATGGAGAACTGCACCAACGAGGACATACACAGGTGATGGGGGGTCTAGAGACATTGCTTCGGCAACTGTGAGAACAATTTTGTCTGCTAAGTGCTCCAGTGAGCGTTCTAGCAAATTAACAGAAACAATCTCTTGGCCAATCTCAGTGCCTTTCACTACATACAAATCCGAATACACACCACTTTCTTCGAGCTTTACTTGGATATCAAGGTCACCACACAAGCCGCCACAATCGCTCAGTGGAGAATCCTTCAAAGGTACATGCATGAGATTATTAGAAACTCCATGAGATTCTGGCATCAATTGCCACATGAATTGCAGGCCCACCAAAGAGGAGAAGACATTTTCTGTACCACAGCCACAGCAAAATGAATATTAAACACAACAGGGAAATATGAAGTAACTATACTCTAGAATAGAATAACTAGTTTGAGCATTAATAATTATTTGCAGGGAGTATGCATTAAAACCAGTAAGAATATGTTGTCCACAACATTTAAAATGTTAAAATGCTGGGCATAAAAATATATTGAAGAAGACTCCATGAAACAACAACCAGAAAACTTTTGCTATGGAATGGCAGCTCAAGTTAACCGACCTCAAATTTTACGAATCTAACCGTATACCTAATCCACAAGCTAATTAATACGTAAATAGATGAATACAACTCAAAATCATGCACTGTGTCTACAAAATATAAACAATATAAATTCATCAACCAGTCTAACCCAATTACCAAAACAGATTTTCCCACAGATGTACCTTCACTATCAAAGGCACGCACACGCAGAGTAGCAAGCCCGTCAAGATCCAGCTTGATGGAGTTATGAAATATCTGAATCCTCGATATCATATCAATATAAACCTTGCACCTAATCACGGTCCCAGTATTCAAATCGGTTGCATAAACGGCAGTCTCCTGCCGCCCGTCATAAGGTGCGATGGACTTTAATCGAGCACTTGTCGAGCAATGGCTACTTGAATTAAGCTCCGGCACCACCGATAATATATCATGATGGTCCCACGACCTAAGCAAAAGAACAACTGAATTCAGCTACTTCTCATAACATATATCTAAAATAAATAATAAACAAGTAAAAATAAACGAAGAAAATGCTTCAAGCAAATCTAGTGCAGTGTAACTACCATTTGAAGCAACCGTCGCTGCCCTGAAGTCTGTACTCCACCGGGTGAGTCATTTTGGGAGGCAATAGTATGTTGACGTCGGCGATGTGGGGACCGGCGCCGGAATGCGATGTCGTGAGGTGTAATAGCAGCAGGAGGAGAGACGACAAGAGTAACGAAACAGGGGTAGACATTTTTCTGTTGTTTTCTCAGGTGAAAAATGGAGAGCATGGAGATACCATTAAATTTGGAAAAATTGGAGCTAAAGCAGACTTTAAAGGTGCATTCGATAAAGGAAAGTGAAATAATCAGACGGAACTTTGGGGACACAAGGAGGAGGATTAGGGCTTTTTGCGAGGTGTTTTGGAAAGTAGCCGGTCACCGTCGGCAGCCATTAATTTGACCCTTGAACTTGAGGTTCATAGGTAGAGCCGTAGAGGAACCAAGCCAAGGTCTAGGTAGATTCAAACCCGAGCAGTCGAGCTCACCTCGTTTAGTGATAACAACACTCTCATTTCAGTATTAATTAATAAGGTTGGTGTTAATTCTTGACTGAGTCAAACTATACAAATTTGTATGTATAAAAGAAATTATATATTTGAATTTAGTAAGCCTTAACGAGTCGAGTCGACTACTAAATAAGCTCATACTAGGCTTGTAATCAAACGAGCGGTTTTTTTTTTTTTACTTTAACAGTCTACGGATGTGTTCGAAAATCTATCTGAAATTTAAAAAAAAAATATTTATAAGTGATTTTTGGGCTTATAGTATGTTTGACAAACACCCTAAGCTAAGTTAGAATTGTTCAATTAGTTTATACACTTTTTGTACAAAAATATGTTTTATTTGAGATGATTAACTCTTTTTAAAAAATTGAGCTTTATCGAGTAGCTTTTTCAAAAAGTTCGTTCTAGTTTTTATTTCATCTTACTTGTCTTTTAAATTTACTAAATGTTTTATCACGACAGTTATTTTTTCAATCATCAGTCAAACAGTGTGTTTGACAAGCACGACAAATTAGTTTATACTTTATAACTTATTTAGTTAATTGATAAGTTTTTGTATTCAAATAAATTTAATTTGTCAAGTCATTTTTTTAAGAATTCTATGACTTATCTCATATGGTTTATTTCTTAACTTTAATATATGTACTACATTAATTAATTGACTTATTAACTAATATTATTACCCTTGTATTATATCAACTGACTTTTCAACCAACGTCCATAAACTATCCGTTATAAGCTCCAAACCCATTTATAGAATATCAACTAACTCATCAGCTATCAGCTAATTTTTCAACTAAGTTTACCAAGCATAGTTATAAGCTATTAGATATAAGCTTGAAATTACTTATAAGCTATCAACTAAAGTTACCATACTCTGTAGACGATAACTTATATATGGACGATAGTTGAAAAACTAGTTGGCGGTATGATAAACTTGCGATGAGTCACCTTTGGTCATGAACGGATTGAACACTTCCCGCTTTGAACGATCCTCCTCTTTGAGCCTCCGATAACTTGCAATACGCCGGAAGGGGATCCCGGCAAAAACCTCTCCGCCGCTCAAGTCATAACTCATTCAATCATATACTGTAAAAATATATAAAATAAGGAGTGAATTGTGTATTTTGTAACCAGAGATAACCTGTTGTCCTTATATAGGACTTAATACCTTGGGGCCGAAAAGAGTTTTTGTCATGGAAGAAATCCACTCAAATTCTATTTTCCTACCTTACCACGTATCTATTTTGGCAATAGTCCTTGAGCGAGTGATTTTTTCTTTCTTATTTAGATTATTCACCTCTTTTACTGATTTTGCCCTTGGATTCTTAGGTCATAAATTCGACCTCCTATTATGTATGTCATGGTCTTTCCGAGGACGTACTTGACCTTGTTCTGAGTTTTGATCCGACGTCGTCTTTAGGTCTAACTTGTCTCCAGACCACCCGACCTCGATATATACTGCGGTCGGTTACTTTGTCGGGCTCCTGGAGGCCAATACCTATATGTTCGGTCTGTTTTGTAAGCTCGTTGTCTTAAGCCCTAGTTTGAGCTACCTGACCAAGTATCTTGCTTTTATACGCGGGAGTTCTTCTAGCCCGACCTTCGTCGAGTTATTCTCTCAAACCGGATAACCGAGCTACTTTTGGATGCTACATCAACTTGTGTGGTAAAATTAGTTGAAAATTCAATTGAATTAAAATTTTAACAGGCATTTTGTAAAGGAGCTTATGAGACAAGAAATAACTTAGTACATAATTTATCCTACCAAATAAAATTTATTTAATACTATAATTTTTTTTTAAAATTCATAAATAGATTATAACATATACCTAACATACTCATAATGGTTCAGGAGAGGGTTGAAGGTTCAAAGTTCAAACTTCAATTCCTCTGTAATTGGGCTCTTTATTGGGTTAATCAGCGCCGGAATTCCCCAGGCCGAGGTCCAATCCATGGTGTTGAGAACATTGGGCCAGGGTGATTATTATTGTTATTATTGTTATTACATCTTATTTTATTACTAGTACGTGTGTAACTCGTGCGATATACGGACTGTAATTACTTTGTGGAATATTATAAATTGAATGAGATGAATCAAAAAGTAATAATAATTTAAATTTTAGTCATGAAATGTATTTTTTTTTTTTTTTTTCGTATAGGTGCTTTTTTGTATGGGTGTGATAGGATATTTATTATCCCCACACTCGTTTTTAAGAGCAACAAATATCTTTTAACATCAAGAAATATGAAATAAAATATTTTGGATATTATAAATTGATGTGATAGATATCAAAGACTGTTTATCTCGTGAAAATGCTAGTTTTATGGCAATTTTAGAAAACAGTTACCATAGAATGTGGATTTTGTGATTATCTTGTTTATTATTTCAGTCATTTTATACATCGAATGAAAATGTAATATTTTAAATCATTTTGTACGTTCCATAAGTGATTTAGTTTGTCTAATTTGTAGTTCTTGTGATAATATATATTGACGTGATAAATTATTATGTTTATGAACTGAAATGAAAATATTAAATCAAGATTATAAAATTGTTACGTTAATATTGGATTTGTGATTATCTATTTATTTTACGATTTGTGATTATCTATTTATTTTAACATTTTTTTGGTGATTCATATCATTGTAATTTTATACATTGAATGAAAGTGTAATCTTTTAATTTTTTTTGTTAGGTTCCATAAGAGATATAGTTCGTATAATTTGTAGTTAATGTGATATATTTGTATTGACGTGATAAAATATTGTGTTTATCAGTATAAAGGAAAGATATTAAATTGAGATTTTTAAGCAAACTCTGTAAATCATATCTTTACCAAAGAAAAAAAAAAGAAAAAAAAGAGAGATGTCATTAAAAAGAAATCGTATATTAGAATTTATCCAAAAGAAAAATTAAAAATAAAAACTGAATATTAAATGAAGATGTTTAAGCAAACTGTGTGAATCAAATTTTTACCGAAAAAATATCGAAAACTTTACAAATGAATCGTGTGTCAGAATTTCTCCAAAATCAAAACCTAAAATAAAAACTGATTTTTATTTCAAAATGCAAAACAAAAATATGCTAACAGACTTGATAAAATAAAAGCTATCCATATCATAACAAAATCCGATTTTTTTGGCCAACAATTATTATATATAGGATACATTTAATGTATTTGGCGGGAAAACATTTCTAAAATTGTAAAATAGTTAATTTTTTTACATAATGATAGATTGGGCAGGGTGATTATTATTGTTATTATTATTTTATCAATTAATTGGCTGCAGTTCTGGTTTGACCTATTATGCAAATTGTAGCAACTTCTAATCTAAAACAAATAGACAATGGAGTTGGTATCAATTATTATAACTTTTTCACACAAATTATTATAAAATGCTAACTCAAAATATTAAAGTAAAAAAAGTGAGGTGGAGTGCGATTAAGTGTCCGCCAACTAACGGTGACATCATGCCTGATGAAGGTAGCAAAATTGACCTGTAACTCCCTGTAATTTTGGACAAGTTGAAAAATCAACTTATGCATAATTTAATTTTATATTTGGCATGGAATATATATATTGATCAAAATGGTATTTTGTATCGAAAGTTCTTAATTTGGCAGGGAACATAAATATTTATCTAATCGGTTGCCGTCATATCTATACTTATATAATAAAAATTAACATTTATTCAAAATAGTAGGTCAAATTATGGTCAATGTCGAATTTGCATTAAATATTTTCCAAAAGCGGTATGTTTTTGTCCTTTTCACACTTCTCATTAATTATGTCATTTTCACACATCTAATTAAATCATTCAATATGAACTTTTATTGTTAAAATGTATAGCGATATCCAATTGATATTTCCATGAAGCGTCCTTATCGCGTTCTATTTTATGGTAATCACTCTATATCAATAACTGGATATTTGGTTAATGATAGCACACGTCTTTATTTCAAGGAGTGGATATTCTTTGACCTTTAATTAATCTGAACTGATTGTCTTGACTTTTCAATTTTTAAAAACTCTTTTTTTATCGCACGTTGGTCTTTTTCTGAAGAAACCCGTTTTTAGTCACAGCCAATTATATGTTGTTGCTTTGCGTGTAAATAATTGAAGATGGTTGAAAATATTAGTTTGTGATAATGAGGAGTTACCAAATAATTAAACTCATAATGTTGTGTACAAGGATGTTTTTAATAATTTATGATTGTTACCAAACTTTTTATGATTCAACAATGTTCCTATGTATTTTAATGATTTGAATTTCGATCCTAATGCACGTGAGATTATATTATTCTTCCAAATTTTATATCCCGTGCATCGCACGAGTTACGTACTAGTTTATACTTAATACTTATATAAAAAAATCATCCCATTTATTAGAATTAATAGAAAGAAAAGTCAACTCATAATTAATTACACACCATATTTAAAAAGTTTTAGATATTTTAAATCATAAAATAGAGTAGCATTAAATACCCCTTAAATTATGGGTTTTGTTTAATTCATGCATCCATATTTACGTATGGTTTTGAAGTGAAAAATTGAAATTTAAAATCTCTTCTCATTTTAGTTACAAGAAAATCGGGCTGCATTCAACACTTGGACCAATTTAAAAATTATTCCTTAAATGAAGGAATTAATAGATATTTGTTATCTCTACTCAATCGTATGAATACTTTCAATATAAAAATAAACAAATTACAAATTAGTGAATCATATATTACCTAATTTAATATCTTAACATTAAGAAATAAATCCATAGTATTATGTAAATCCGTATCTCATATTATTATATCATTAAGAATATATTATAGTTATATTATCAAAGCATAAAAAGATATTAAATCCGTATTGTAAAAAAAATAATTCATATAATTTTATAATAATTCTACTACACTATTTAATAGTATTCCTCTTTATTATATAATAAAATAATAATTAAATATAATATAGTGAACAACAATAAGT